CAGGAAGAGGTTACCCCACTGTCAGAAAAACTGGCAAAGATCGAGGACTGTGTTGATCCCAATTCAAAGCGGACCCTAAGGTAGCTACTTGGACGAGCAGCATACTATTGTCGGCTTGTTAAGGATTTCAACAGGACTGCTGCTCCACTGTACGACTTTCTCGGGCGAAATCGAAAATTCGAATGGACCAGAGGACGTGAGGCTTCCGAACGTGTCAAAGCACGGAAGTTGGATCAGCAACTGACTCTCAAACTGCCCAGGATAGGAGGGATGTTCATTGTTGCAGAAGGCGCTAGTGACCGCGGTATCGGCGCAGTCCTAAAGCACAGGAATGGAGTTATCGAATATGCCAGTCGTGTGATTGACTAACCCGGAGCAGAAGTACTCGACTACTGGGAATGTTTAGCAATCGTCTAGGCCCTGGATAAGTGGAGGCCATACCTGCTTGGACAAAAATTTCATGTCGAGACCGATCAAAAACCCATGGAAAGGATCAAGACCACCAGAGATCGCGGGAAGCTCGCGCGCTGGGCACTCCGGTTGTAAAAGTACGACTTCACGATCCAGTAAGTGCTATAAAAGAAGAACCACCTGGCTGATTGGCTGTCAAGACCAGATGCTGAATATGAGGATCCCAAGATCATGATTGGTGAAAATAGCCTCATCGTCGAACTGGATTCCGGAAGCTTGGTGCAAACCCACTGGCAAGATCCTGTGTTACGGAAGGTTGCAACCGCCTTGTTGGATGGAAGGAATACTGAGAGCGAGGGGGGAAACAAGGAATTGGAAACGTTCTAGAGTCACTTCGATAGACAGAGTCTGAGTGGAGCTGGCATAATTTCAAGGAACGCCACCGATTTTGATGATGTGCTGCCCGTGATACCTCGCGTCTTAGGACGGAAGCTGATCTTCGAATGCCACGAGCTGCAACACAGGGTGCACCAGGACGTAAGGCTTACTTCGGCGGAAGGCCTATTGGCACGAGATAGGAAGTGAGGTGATGCATTATGTGGTGTCCTGTAAGCGATGCGAACTAATGAAGGAAAATACGACAGGGGCGACCCATCCCATGGAACTCAGCCCCGTCTCAGAAATCGGCGAGTTATGGTCCGTTGATGTAATGGGCCCCTTTCCGGTGACGACCGGCGGAAATCAATATATCGTGATAATGACAATACTTGTCCTGGTGGGCCCAGGCGGCCAGCGAAGACGACCAGCGGAGGGGTAATGCATCAACCATGGGGTGGAAAAAATGATTCTAACCGATCAGTGGCCTTGCTGTGAGAGCGAAGTGATTAGGAGTTAATTGCAGAAGGTGGGCACCGGGCGGCTAAGGGAGACACTATACCAAACAAACGGTCTAACCGAATGTAATAAGTGAACGACCAAGGAGTGGCTGGTAGACAAAGGTGACTGGGAAATGATCCTGTCGATGGTGTTGATAGCTCATCGTGCTTCCATTTGGCCAACCACAGGCAAGTCCCGGTTCACGCTGATATACGGTTGATATCCGCGCCTTCCGGTTGATCAGGAAATCGGGTTGTGGTCAGTAACACGCTGCTCTGAAGGAGCTAAGAGAGGAAAACTTAAAAAACTAGTGTGCCTTCCAGGAAATGATTAGACGGAAAACGGTAAGTGGGAAGGCACGACAATTCCCGAAAAGCGCGAATGTCAACTAGAAGAAACACAGAATCCTGGGAAGTAGTGGAATGGGGTTGAGGAAGGTGGGCAGTTGACGGTAAGGTCCGCTTGTCGTTACCGACTGCCGGGGGAACGTCTGTATGGTTCGAGATGTTACCGTCTTGAACAATCCACGACGTCGGGGATAGAAGAGTAAATAGGACTCAGCTTCAGATGTGGCGTGATACACCCGAAGAACTGACAAATAGACCAGCTGCTGAGGCCAACCTAATGTCACACTATATCTGTAACGGTTGCGCGACATCCCAGAAAACATGCCAGCGGGGCGCGAACCCCCATAAGAGTTTGTGTTTCAGCCACCATGCTATACCAAAAAGCACGGAAATTTGGTGGTGACCTTCGAATGATAGGGAAATTACTACGGCCTTATATTCAGACTAAGCGCGAGATAGCCTATGATGTAATATGCACGCTATGGAAGCACCAGGGGACAGTGATTCTCCGAAGGCAGGTGTTCACGACAATTTCTGTGGATGGAAAACAGAAACAAAGGTCATCAGCCAAAGCCCAGTAAGCAAGGTTTTGCACCACCAATACTTACAAATGAATCAATCAAACTGACAAACATCGTATACTACAACGAACCCACATTCAAATTTGCGTGACAGGGGAGAGCCACGGAGCTAAAGAACCCGATTTTGATTGGCCCACATCCTCGCCAATCAGTCACGGAATCACGGATTCACGGATTGATACACAGGATCGAGGCTTTTGCCCAAGTTTCCCGGGTCGCTTTTGTTCTTGTCGGTCAGTGGCTGTCGTTCACCTGAAAGGCACAAGTGAGAAAAGGGTGTAGCACTGCTCTTTATGTTCTCAGCGCGGGGCAGTATGCTTGCCAGCGCGAGGATTCACATAAATAAATGTCTAATAGTGCTTCGAACTGGGTTCTAGAAGGAGCGTGGACAATCGTCGGAGGAAGGTCATTCCACGCACCTACTACCCGAAATGAGAAAAAATTTTGTCTTATGAATGCGTGTGCTGCGAGCTTGAAAATTTTCTTACTATGTCCTCGCCGGGTGTTTGCTGGGTCGACAATAAGAAACCTGTTTGCCAAGCTTCGTTCAAACGGGGCATATGTAAAAATTAGGCCCACTAGGAGGCGACGGTACTCCAGGGGAAAGCGATCAAGCATCGCGAGACGCGTTTCGTAGTCCACGGATTTGAGGCCTGCAACATTTTTCGTGGCGGCTCGCTGGACACGCTCAATGAGGTTGACGTCTTTCGTGCATCCTGAGTGGTTCGTGTATTCCAGGAGCGGTCTGAAGTAGACCCCATAGAGTATTTGGAAGTCCATGCGAGTAATACGGGAGAAGGTGCGTCGGGTCATCTGTAAATAGCCAGATGCTTTTAGGCCGATTCCTCATGGTGCAGCGAGGACAAGTTTGAGGAGACCCAGATACACAATTACTTCTTGGCGTCTGTCCTCATGGTGTTTTCTGGTCCCTTCTCACCGTGCATGAAAAGGGCATTCGCTGAGTTCCCTCCAAACGACATATGGACGCATTTTTCGTCATTCAGGGAAGGCTCCCAGTCAAACGACCACTGCTTTGCAGCGTCTACATCCATTTGGAGGGCACTTGCATTGCAACTCCAGGATTTCAAGTTGTCCGCAAAAAGTAGACATGAACTTGCAAGAACATCTGGAAGGATGATGACGTAGAGCAGAAACAACAGTGGTCCGAGAACGGAGCCCTAAGAAACTCCAATGGAGACCGGTGATGGAGCGGAGTAGGTCGAGCCTATTCTCACTCGGAATAATCTGTCTGATAGGAACGCCTCGATCCAGTGAAGCATTTTCCCTTGAATCCCGTAAGACTCGAGTTTGTGGAGCAGCGGTACGTTTGGGACCCTATCAAATGCTTTTTATATGTTGAAAAATATGGCGTCCGATATGAGTCCCTCGTTCTTGGCTCGGGTCAACCTGTCCATAAACACGAGCATGTTTGTCACGCAAGGAAGGTTTATGAGAAATCCGTGTTGAGCTGGAGATATCAGGTTGATGGAAGTGAGGTGATCTAAGACAGCTCGCTTCAGAATGCGTTCCAGCACCTTGCACGGCACGCTAGTGAGGCTTAGAGGCCGGTAACCGTCTGGCGATAGTCCGTCACTAGTTGTGTAGATTGGCATGAGAATCGCTTCCTTCCAAGCGGAGGGAAGGCGGCCTTCCTCAAGCGACTGACGTAATACCAGGTACAAATGACTTGCCAGTGTGGACGGCGTTTATTTCAGGATCCTTAGATCAACCTCGTAGGACCCAAACGCGCAGAATGGGTTGATCTTGTGCAAGAGTTGACGAATGTCCTCCACCGTGCGGACCAAGTCGGTTAGATCCTGTTCGTAGTTACGCCTAGACAAGAGTGGATGTGACGAGGATGTTGGGGCTGAATATAGACCTGCATAGTGTTCTCTGTAAGCCTCAGATAACATTGTTTGACCACTCGTGGGTTTATTGTTCCTGTCCCTCAAGGAGAACTTGGATGGCTTGTTTCTGCGGCGACGTCTCATGTATTTGAACAAGACGTTTATGTTTTTTCGAGCGAGGTCCAGAATGGTGGCTTGTTTCCATATGTTCCATTTGCGGATTTCTGATTTACAGCGGTTCCGCATTCTACGAAATGCCAGGTTATCTTCTGCATCCCCTGTAGTCGACCTTTTGAGAAGAGTTGGAACCTCTTTTCCAGAGATCGCCGAATACATTTTTGGTTTCCTGCGGCTCACCCAACTACGTGCTGGCTTTTGGGGGGCAAACATCGCGTCAGCAGCGTGAACTTTCTGGACAATGGTCCTATATAATTCCTCCACCGGAGCTGTTCCCAGTCTAACTTGTTCAACGAAAATGCGCATTCCCGAGAAATTTGCACGGCAGAATTCTCGGAACCACATTTGAGGTTCGTGATTTCTGGCCCAATGGCAGATGAAATAAAATGTCAGCACACAGTGGTCGCTATGTCCCAGTGGAGCGTTGATTGATACCTAATCAACGAAGTGTCTTTCGTTGGTGATGACAATTCCAGGAAAGATGGTAGTTGGCCTGCATGGTGTCTGGTGTGTGCAACGAAATGTTGAGTCCAAGCGCTCTGTTGAACGACTTCAGTCAGCACCACCCAAAAATGTCCGCTTGATCCCACGCGCTGGAGGAGGCCTTTCGAGCGCTGAAGTCATCTACCAGCAGGAGATGAGTGAAGTGGTTTTTGGAAAAGTGTTGCTCCAGGGTTGGTATGGGGTCATCTTCGGGCAAGCTGTAGGGGCTATATTAGATCACACCCAGAAGTAGAAAATCGGACCCACGCAGCGGGATTTGGATCCACAGTGCATCGCAAGAAAGTGTGGGAGTAGTATCTGAGAAGACAATCGGGATTGGTAGGGCCGCGTGTAAGTACAGAGCAAACCCACCAGCCCTCCCTCGTTTTGAGTCAGCTCGAACAACAGAGTAACCATCTATTGAGATCTCCGCGTCAGAAACATCTGGTGTGAGTCAGGCTTCTGTGAGCGAGGTTATAGACGGTTGTTCAAGGCAAGCTGGATGACGCAGAGTTTGTTGAAAAGGCTGAGGCATTTTGTAGACAAGCATTTCAACACTGTCTCTACTGCCTCCAAGGATGGGTAGCCGAAATTTTAGTGACCAGGGGAGTCAGCAGACTTATTAGTTGTGCGCCGGGTTTGAGACC